GCACTGAGCGCAGGATGACACCCTGCAGCTCCCAGGGCTGGCGAGAGAGAAGACTCGCCGCTCAAAAAAAAAGAAGGAGAAAGAAGAAGAAAAAAAGTTGGTGACTCTGAATTCGCACGGCTGAAAGAGTGAGTTGGATTGGAGAATGTTAAAAAAAAAAAAAAGAGAGAGAAAGAAAGGAAGGATGAAACTAGCCAGGCATGGTGGCTTATGCCTGTAATCCTAGCACTTTGGGAGGCTGAGGTGGGTGGATCACCTGAGATCAGGAGTTCGAGACCAGCCTGGCCAAAATGGCAAAACCCCATCTCTGCTAAAAATACAAAAATTATCCCAGCATGGTGGCACATGCCTGTAATCCCAGCTACTCGGGAGGCTGAGGCAGGAGAATTGCCTGAACCCAGGAGACGGAGGTTGCAGTGAGCTGAGATCATGCCACTGCACTCCACCCTGGGCGACCCTCCGTCTCAAAAAAAAAAGAAAAAATGATGAAACCAGCATTAAGTGTTAATAATGAATCTTATGAGCTTGGTTAAAGGGCGTGCATCTTTGAGAACTGGGACTGGAGTTGGTGAACACTATTGGATTTCAGCCCTAAGGCTGAGAACCGAAACACCAGACTGTGCCTTGTTTACCAAAGTGCTGTCACCTTGCCACATCCTGCAAGACAGACTGTCATTCTCTCGAAATATCCCTGCCCCACAACATTGGCCCCAGAGTGTTGTAGCCCACTGTATATTAGGAGAATCTTTTGGAGGGATAGTTTGAGAAAATATATTCAAATTATAGAATCTCTTTTTTAATTATAAAAAAAATAAAGACACGGTGTCACTGTGTTGCTCAGGCTCAGGCTGGTCTTGAACTCCTGAGCTCAAGTGATCCATCTGCCTCGGCCTCCCAAAATGCTAGGATTACAGGCATAAGCCACCATCCCTGGCCAAATTCATAAAATCTTTTTCTATCCTTTGACCCAGTAATTCTCCCTAGAGGGGAAAAAAAAATCTCTTCTGAAGAAATAATTCAAATTATGGGAAAAGCTCTATGCATGACAATATGCATCTTAGCATTATTTTATTTTTTAATTTAAAATCTTAATTTGCCAAATCACTTTTCACCTAAGAATCAGCATTATTTGTAATCACTGAAAAATCACAAACAACCCATAATCCAGCAATTGAGAATTATGTAAATCATTGTAGATCAATTTAAGCAAATAACACAGCTACTAAAAAGGATAAAGACCTGTAATCCCAGCACTTTGGGAGGCCGAGGCAGGTGGATCATCTGAGATCAGGAGTTCGAGACCAGCCTGACCAACATGGCAAAACTCCCATCTCTACTAGAAATACAAAAATTAGCTGGGCGTGGTGGCACATGCCTGTAGTCCCAGCTACTCGAGAGGCTGAGGCCGGAGAATGACTTGAACCTGGGAGGTGGAGTTGCAGTGAGCCGAGGTTGCAGTGAGCTGAGATCATGCATTGCACTCCAGCCTGGGCAACAAGAGCGAAGTGAAACTCCGTCTCAGAAAAAAAAAAAAAGGAAACAAGAATTGGGCCAAGTGCGGTGCTTCCAATAAATTGTATACATTCCAGCATTTTGGGAGGCCACGAGGCAGATGATCACTTGAGGGTCAGGGTTCTGAGACCAGCCTGGCCAACATGACAAACCCCACTCTACTAAACGATAAACCATAAAAATTAGCGGTGTGATGGCGGGACCTGTAATCCCCAGCTACTTGAGAGGCTGAGGCGCCCAGCAGAACGGCTGAGCCAGGCAGGCAGAGGTTGTAGTGAGCTGAGATCTGCCAGCTGTGCCCAACGCCTGGGTGACAGAGTGATACTCCCATCTCTCCAAAAAATATATAACAAAAAAACAGTGTGAGAAAATATTTATTATTAATATAGAGTGAAAAAATCAGCACATAAAATACTTAGGTTTATATTTAAACTAAGATTATGACTAATTTGTATATTTGTAATCTTAATATGCAAATTATCAGCCACCATGCCTGGCTTTTTTTTTTCTCCTCAGATGTGAGGTCTCGCTGTTGCCCAGGCTGGTGTTGAACTCGTGGGCTCAGGTGATCCTCCCACCTTGACTTCCCAGAGTGCTGGGACTACAGGCATGAGCCACCACCCCTGGCCTAGAAAAATATTAAAATACTATTAAGGAGTATTCAAAACTGGTTATTATATCAGGATGATAGAATAAGGGATTTTTTTTTTAATCTATTTTCCATTGCAGCTGCCTAATGATGGTTTTGAATCTGTTCTCTGGCATTCTGTCCTTTAGTTGCTACCAGTTGACCACTCGGCAGTATAACTTCTTAAACTTGCAGCCAGGAGGAGCCCTAGGGCAAGGAAAGCTGCAGCCTAGCTGGCTTTCTGGCTGCTATCCAGGCAAGGATTTTGTTTTCTCTATTACAGTTGATTATCCTAGACTTTAGGGAGCAATGGGTCTCTGGACTGTAGGTTTCAGCCTCCATTCTGGGCTTATCTTTGGATTCTTGTTGATGAGTCAAAGGAAAAAAAAAAAAAAAGGAGTGACCATCAATGAGGTGTTTGCTGACTCTTCTAGTATGAGCTCAACCTTGTTATCTGTTATCTGCCGGGAGTCATTTCCTTTGAAAATGTGTGGTATACTTTACCAGAGTAAGTAGTAATGTCCCATTCCTTCTCAGGAAAATGTGTACACGTAGGTCAAAACTATGCATTGTAAAACTCAGATCTGTTTGAAAACAGAGAGGTGGGGACAGAAAGTAAACATACGAAGGATTTGACAGGACAGATTACCAGCCTGGTGGTCCTTTCTGGAAAATGTTTGCTTTCTCGTAATTGCCTTCAAAATAGGGACAGTGTCCTGAATGTTGGTTACAGTTGTTGAAGATTTCTTTTTGAGATTATGCTTGGATGATGGGGCCTTAAGAAGAGAACCCACCCAGTCCTGTTTTGTGCCTTCGTTTGGACATGCTCTCCCTTTTCTTCCAAGGAACTATACACTTAATTAGTATTGGGTCTGGTAGGACTGAGATTTTGTTTTCCTTTTTATTTTCCCTAGGGTTCTCAGAAGCGAACTATCTCCACCCCAGAAACCCCCCTAACAAAAAGAAGTGTATCAACTCGTAGCCCCCATCAGCTCCTCTCACCATCAAGTTTCTCTCCAAGGTATGGATCATAATTCATTCAAGTGCCATAAAGCTGGCTTCCCCTCCCCTTTCTCTGGCTATCTGAGGAAGGCTAACAGCAGAGTTATTTATTAACTGTAGGTGGGCATGTGCATCTGCAGTGAATTGGCTTGAAAGCCTATTGCTCTCTGCCTTCCTTGCTTTCCCTTTCTTTGTGGAAAATTACTGATTCTTACAGTAATTAAGGAAACTCACTTTCCACCCACTTTTCTAAGGCTCATTTCCTAGATCAGGAACTGATACCTTCTATTGAAAACAACCTGTCTATTCAGAAGTCTAAGAGTCTTAACAGGTCTTGTCAGTAGAGGCAAGTAGGTTTCCACCTGCTTCTGTTTGTGTTTTGTTGGGTTTCTTTTTCTTTCTTTTCATCTAAAGTTTTTTTGTTTTGTTTTGTTTTTAAAGAAAAGCACATATCTTTGTTCATAATGTTTCGTAACCTGTTTATTGTTTCAAACTCAGGTTACAACTAGTTTCTGAGAGTTTTCTTGTCACTGTGAATCTGCACTGACTTAATTGGTATTTTGTCCCTCTGCCACCACTGCACATAAATCCACAAAGATCATATGTAATTTTTTAAAATCCGAAAATGACACGTCTCATATTAGAGAATTCCATAGGCAAGTGCTCTGCTGAGTAGATGGGTTTTTAGGAGCTTCCACATCAAGATGAGGCTCAGGAGCAGTAGTATTAACCCTTTAGGGAAGCACCAACTGCCAGGAGTCATTACCTCTACTTTGGATCACTTCTAGATGAACCAGAGCTTAAGATTTTTCAACTCTGTCACTTTTTTTTTTTTTTTTTTTGAGACAATCTCACTTTGTCACCCAGGCTGGAGTGCAGTAGCACCATCTTGGCTCGCTGCAGCCTCTGCCTCCCCAGTTCAAGCGATTCTCCTGCCTCAGCTTCCCGAGTAGGTGGGTCTACAGGCGCCCGCCACCACGCCTGGCTAATTTTTGTATTTTTAGTAGAGACAGGGTTTCTTTCACCTGTTGGCCAGGCTGATCTTGCACTCCTAACCTCAGGTGATTCACCCGCCTCAGCCTCCCAAAGTGCTAGGATGTCAAGCATGAGCCACTGCGCCCAGCCTTTTCAGCTCTGTCACTTTAGAAAGCTGGTGATAGAAGCTCTGCAGTCATTCAAGGTGAGTGGTTATTGGATTTTTTTTTCTTTTTTCTTTTGTTTTTTTTTAAGATAGGCTTTCACTCTGTTACCCAGGCTAGAGTGCAGTGGCACAATCATAGCTCACTGGCCTTCCAGGCTCAGGTGATCCTCCTACCTCAGCCGCCTGCGTAGCTGGGACTACAGGTGTATGCTACAAAGCCCAGCTAATTTTTGTAGACATGGGGTTTTACCATGTTGCTCAAGCTGGTGTCGAACTCCTGGCCTCAAGCAGTCTGCCCCCACCTTAGCCTCCCAAAGTACTGGGATTACAGGCATGAGCCAGCGTGCCTGGCGGTATTTGGATTTTGAAGGACAGTTTTTTGGGTTTTTTTTTTTTTTTGAGACGGAGTCTCGCTCTGTCACCCAGGCTGGAGTGCAGTGGCGCGATCTCGGCTCACTGCAAGCTCCGCCTCCCGGGTTCATGCCATTCTCCTGCCTCAGCCTCCTGAGTAGCTGGGACTACAGGCGCCCGCCACCGCGCCCGGCTGTGATTTTTTGTATTTTTAGTAGAGACGGGGTTTCACTGTGGTCTCGATCTCCTGACCTTGTGATCCGCCCGCCTCCCAAAGTGCTGGGATTACAGGCGTGAGCCACCGCGCCCGGCCTGAAGGACAGTTTTACTTTAGGGTGGTCTACTGCTGCTCTGGGGAGTTCTCAGACTTTTTGGAAGAAAGCTTTCTAGGCTTAACAAGAGCATCTTTGCAACCGGGTATGTAGGGATGGCTCTTATGGACATGCCAGCACCATTGCAGGAGTTATATTCTCCAAATGTCAGTACAATGCTCTGAAACCTGTAGATCTGTTTACAGCTGTCCTCATGTGAGCATCTTGCTGCATTAAAGGGCCTGCTGTAATGGATGGCTCATGGAGCTTCCCAGGGAAGAGCTTGGAGAAGTTGGCAAAATGCTGTCTAGTCATTTTTTAATGCACACTAATAAAGCTGACAGCAGAAACTGGTTTTGTAATGTATGAAAGTAACTTCTAAATTATTCAGGTAGAGGTGGCACTGGAGATTGAGATAATTAATTGAGCTCATTTTCTGTAGCCTCTCTGTGAAAAGAAAGAATGACGGCATTAATTGCGATGGTGCCCCACATAAAACTGGTTCCTGCAGAGTTTCAGTGCATTAAACAAAGCCTGTTTTAAATAGAGCTCTGTACGGCGTGTTTACAACCAGAGAATTAGAAGACTTCACTGTTATCTAAGCAGATCGGCAATATCCATGTGTTCTTAGAGGTGTAATTTACCAGTCAGGGAGTGGAAACGTGAGAACTTGGCAGTTGAGCCTAGAAAAATGGGAATGTTTGCATATCACCAGACTGTTAATTCATTACTTCTCCACCTCTATAGACACGGGGGAAAGTTGATTAATTTTAACTTCATTTTATTGTTGTTTCTACCTTGAACCATATTGTGAGTTTTTATATATGCTCAGCAAATTTTGGCTTATCCACAGTTGCAGGCTCAGATGATGTTCCAATAAATGCTAAAAAATCATAAGAGAAAAATGGAACTTAAAGTTTGCCTTTTAATCAATTCAGAATCTGGGGGTTTTTTTGCCTTGCTTAGTTTTAATGCCAAGAGAACGACAACCTTTTAAAATACGTTTCTGTCTCTAAACTTCTTTAAAAATGTTTGGTATTCCTCAGCCTGGTATTCCTCAACCCTTCATTCCTGAAATTCCTTAAAGGTCTGGGTATGTCCAACCCCGTTAAACTGATTCGATTTATAAACTATGAGGCCACCTTCCTTTTCTCTAGTCCCCATTTCCAAAGATAACCTCATGTTATTCCTCTCTCCCTTTAGATATGAACACAGTAATATTAATCCTTTTTGCTTCCAATTAGTGCTACTCCCTCCCAGAAATACAACTCAAGAAGTAACCGAGGAGAAGTGGTTACCTCCTTCGGCTCAGCACAGGGAGTATCTTGGTCTGGGAGAGGAGGAGCTGGAAACATCAGCCTGAAGGTCTTGGGGTGTCCAGAGGTACTAACAGGGAGCTACAAATCCATGTTTCAGAAGCTCCCAGACATTCGAGAAGGTGATTGTTTTTCCCTTTGAAATTCTGGTGGATATAAAACCACCTGGAAGAGTCTAGAGTAACAAAGCTTCAGCTATGCTGGTAGAACAAGTTCCAAGGTTGCCTTTGAATATATGAGTTGGTAATGTCTTCATGGAATCCCTAGTAGTGGAGGGACACTGGCAATACAATCAGTGATTGCCCCAAGTTACTTCACTTGGCTAAAAAGCACATAACCATTCCCAGCAGCAAAAACTCGAACGATGTAAAGGAATTCAACTTAAAGATATTCATGGCTCCTTCCTTAGAAGCCTTCTTCGGCCGGGCGCAGTGGCTTAAGCCTGTAATCCCAGCACTTTGGGAGGCCGAGACAGGCGGATCACGAGGTCAGGAGAGCGAGACCATCCTGGCTAACACGGTGAAACCCCGTC